CCTTGTCAGCCACCTACGCTCGGCTCCGGTTCTCTGGAACCACTCATTCTCATCTCCGAATTGTCGAAACGATTCTACCACACTGTAACCCAACCAAGGTTTTCGAGCCCTTACACGGGACTTGGAATTTTGTCCTTCGACATGGCAGATGCTTAGTAAAACTAGGATTCAGGTCTCTGGGACAGTGCTGATAGGGCAGGTTTCGCGACCGCATTTTGACTGAGTAGATGAGGCAGCTAACGAGGACAAAATTCCTCTTCGGTCACTACCCCGATCTCATTTTTCAGTCGTCTTTGAGTTAAGGGCGAGTTTTTTGAATTCCAGCCACAAGATTTCTTCTCCCCTCGTCTGTGGACAGTCTTCTGTCTTGACACAAGTGAAACTACATTCCCTTCTTTCGTTATTTGCGCTACCTACTGGCGTCGTTTACTGGCTGCTGTTGCATGCTCCCGAAATAAAGCAAGTTCTTCTTTAAATGCTACTGCTGCTGGTCAAAGTACCTCTCAAATTAGTAACTAGTGATAGCTTTGGGGAGGGGGGGTGCAGTCAGAAGACCTAATGTTTACATCCATATTAATTTTATTTTTTGTTTTTTTAAACAGGCTCACTGTTATAATAGGATTGCAGACAAATCTATCAAATGGACTTAGAATGGGCCATGTAACCTGTGAACCCCTCGCACCGTTCTGATCACAATCGAGCTTGGCGCGACGGGGATCTCGGCTAACGTTCGCCGAGATCGGCTACTTCGGAATAATGGATTAATTGGGCTGTCCTAATGAAAATAATCGGGATTGATCGTCTCACGTCAGTCAGATGACTAAGTTGCCGTCGGTGATTTCTAATCACGTCAGCACGCGATTTTGTGGCTTAGAAGGGAGATTGTTGGGCGTTTGGGCAATCGGCTGCCCTTGCTAGGATCATTTCTATCCTTTTTTCCAGGGCGCTGGATTGAGTGGTCTGGCCAGCCTCGTTGGCCCGCATATGCACTCGACGATGTCCGCTCAGGTTGCTACGACAACGGAAGGCCTTGCCACAGCCTGGGTGTTCACACTTGTAGGGCCGCTGACCCAGGTGCAGATTCAGATGGTCCTCGAGGTTTGTCTTCTTCAGGAAGTTTCTTCCACAACCACTCACAGGACAGATAAATTTTCGTCGCATTTCGCGATCCAGATGGACCAACCGGTGTGTTATGAGGTTCGACTGTCGTGCAAAGGCCTGCCAGCAACCGGGGAAGTCGCAAACAAACGGTCGTTCACCCGTGTGCGTACGGTGATGGTTGACCAGGGA